CCCCAAAACCCCAAAACCCCAAAACCCCAAAACCCCAAAACCCCAAAACCCCGGCTTACATGGGACATATTGAGATCTCTTATTTAATTGACTGGAAATAAGGGACGAAATATGCGTTCCCAGGTACTTTCTCTGTCCGTGCATAGATGTACTCTAGGTTACTAGAGTCTATCTGAAGGCCTCCTTCTGTTTCGATGATAATTTCTTCGTTTTTTAGAGCTTGGATTATTATAGTGGGCATTGGCTTATAGTACGAAATAATCCTAGCACTCTTATCTGCCTTGTTCATCTTAGAGTAAGTCTGGAGCCAATTAGTGACCTTCCCCTTCAGCTTGGTCATAGAAAAAGGTGTTGTTGGCTTCTGGGCCTCTTGGTCTTTCAGCATAGTTTCTAGCACAGATGTCATAATTTTGGATAAGGAGTCAGCATTCTTTTTCTCATAATTGCCCAACTTCTTGAGCTTAGATCTCTTAGAAGTGCTGACTATCTTGGAAGCGTCTATTACCAAATCTACTTCGTTAATATGTATGAGCTCCATATAGGAGATGGGGGAGTTATTGAACATATCTATAATGGATTATGATAAAGCCTTACCAATGAGTAGAGTTGGAAGTTCTCCTCTTAGCCATTCCTTCTGTCAAAGAGTGAAGAAGGTGTAGACAAAGAAATCTTCCTTTTCTTGAGTATCCATTTTCTTGTACTTCTGCAGATGTTGCTTCTATATACCCGGATTATGATGGAACAAGGAAGTGTGAAAGCTTAGAATTTCTGGTTAGAGCGCTCAAGCATTTGACAATAAAGAGAAATTTAACTACAAAATTGAAGGTGGGGTTCTATAATCGTTATTCTGGGAGGTTAGATCCTTAAATAAGATTTTAGTGTTTCAGTGTTGGTTAGTAAGTCAAAGATGTCCCAACCTTGCACAAGGATTCCAAGTCTGCTAATGACAGGATAGTATATCTGCTTCTAATTTGTTTCCAACAGAAAGCGCCTAATGCTAATTTGGAGGTAATGATCTATTCTGAAGAATAAATCTGCTTATATTTGATGATAGTCTTAGAAATTTTCCAGAATTATTCGTATGTATTAATTAGTTCCTCTTTGATTCATGAAGAAAGAGAGACAATAATTCTCTAAATTTTGATGGCTATGGCAAATTGTGGCGGCTTAGGCTGAATTACGATTCCGAAATTTTATTTCTAGGTTTACTATTCCATCATACTTCGCTCCGTTAATAACCCCATTGGAGTCAGAGTATTTTAGTAAATCAAAGAATTGTTGGAAATGGTTAGATTTCGATTTACCTAAAAATAGTGGAAACCTTGCAGAATTCATTAGAAATTGGTAAGAAAATGGTTGATGAAAAATATTGGGCAAATTTACTCCTCAGAAGATGCACTTACCACAGTGTTGTCTAGGTCAGCCATGAGCTTCGTGAACTCTTTGCTTTTCTCTTGTTTCTTATTGACAAGTTTAGGAAGGAGATCATTAAATATTTCCTTATATTTCTTGTCGAATTTCTTGAGAGTGCTAGAGCTTGATTCAGATATAGAGGTGCTAGTTTTTATTTCTTCTCCCTTGTTGTGGCCTCTTCCTGACAATGAGAGCCCAACTGTGGATCACTTTGTTGAAATTGAAGAAGCAGAGGTTGAAGCGAAGCTATTCGTCATATTAATCTCTGGGGACAGAGTACTAGCTGCTTCAAATTTATTGAAAATTGGCAAGCATACTTTTCAAAGAGTCAGATCTGATGCATGAAAGTTATCTTGGTAAGTATCAATATTGAAGTTATTTTAGAAGCGCTGCATTCTTAACGCTAATACAAGGCAAGGAATCTCGTGTAATTTCTAATTCTTGGTAGATTTCCCTCGGAATGAAATGCTTCTCACCAGAATAGATAATAACACTGTACTTTCGGTCCAAAAGCAGCCCTAAAGATAGGAAAAACAAAGGCTTGAACGAAATCAGTTTGTAAGACGATTTCTTGTCTTTAAAAATATAATCGAACAGCTCTCTTATCATATCTTTCTGATAAGAAGTAGTATTTACATAGATATACAGCACAATGCCATTGTCTACAACTTGATTGGCGAATTCCTCTCAGAAATTTCGATCAGCGCACTCACTAGCTGTAGTTACAAAAGATTTCCTATAGGTAAAATTAGCTATTAGTTGCATGTAGCAGCCCAGAAGTCTCTTTTTCCCGATTCTTACTTTAGGAATCATTTCTGGATATTTGGGTTGTCAAAATCTAGGACTAAGGCTTTATTTGAGCGGATGCTCGGCCCTTTGGAAGACATATTATAAAGTTTTAATTCATTCAAAAGCAAGACCTAGCTGAGGGGTTTTGGGGTTTTGGGGTTTTGGGGTTTTGGGG